GGAGGGCTCCCTCGGCCGCGCCGGGCCTCCAAGAGGCCCAGCGCCACCGTGGGGCTCCTCCGGGGTGCCATTTTGGAATCCAAAATGGCGCCCCAAAGGAGCCCCACAGCCACGAAAGGTGGCGGCGGTGGGACCGGGCAGGGGCCGGTCTAAAGGCCTCCACGGGCTGCATCCGGCCCGCAGGTTGCTGACCCCTGGTGTAGACGCACCCTATGTCTGAAATGTCTTGCTGAATTAGAACTCCCATTGGCCTAGCCAGCATAGTCAATAGTAACAGATTGCAAAAGAACATTTGAAGAACTAAAGATTCCTACCCTGGGTTTAAATAAGAGCCCCAGAAAGCAATTTGGGGGGCATCTACTCAGGGTGCATCTAGTTTGACATCACTTTAACTGTCGTAACTCCAGCCTATAGAATCCTGGGATTTGTAGTTTTACAAGGGCATCAGCCTTCTCTGCCAGAATGCTGGTGTCTCACAAAACTACAAATCCTAGGATTCTGTAGGATGGAGCTAGGGCCATTAAAGTGGTGCTGAACTGCAATATTCCTACAGTGTAGATGCACCACACATCTGAGATATGTCATAACAACTCCTATTAGGCCTAGCCAGCATAGCCAATGGTAAGAGATTGCGCAAGAACATTTGGAGAACTTAAGATTCTCACCCTGGGTTTAAATATGAGCGCCAGAAAGCGATGTGAAAAACATCTACACCACAGAAATAATCCAGTTTGACAACACTTTAAGTGCTGTTAAGTAGGTTCAGTGGTTTGAGTGTTGGACTAGGGCACTGGGAGACCAGGGTTCGAATCCCAGCTTGGCCATGGAAACCCACTGGGTGACCTTGGGCAAGTCACATTCTCTCAGCCTCTTCGAGGATGGCAATGGCAAAGGTCCTCTGGACCAATCTTTCTAAGAAATTATAAGGTCGCCATAAGTCAGAAATGACTTGAAGGGACACGACAACAAAAAAGCTCCATCCCATGGAATCCTGGGATCTGTAGTTTTACAAGGTCTTTAGTCGTCTGCCAAAGAGTGCAGGTGCCTCATGAAACTACAAATCCCAGGGATTCTGTAGGAATGCTTCCAGGCTGTCAAAGCAGTGTCAAACTGCATTATTTCTACACTGTAGATGCACCCCAAGTGCTTTCTCAAAACAATCATGGAAGCACTGGTAAATACAGAGCAAGGCATGCTGGGAAAGCGCAGGTAAGGCGCCACAATGCCTCCCAAGAGGAAAAACGCCCACTGTTCCGCCTAAGACGGAAAGCAGAAAATAAACGCAGGCTGGGCGAATGGACAGGCCTCGTTGGCAGGCGCAAGGAGCTTAGTCCCACCCTCTCCTCAGCCAACCAATCACAACACACGACGCAAAATGCCAGGGCCAAGATTTCCCCCAAACAGCCAATAACCGTCTACGGACGCCAAAGAGGCCGGCCGAAGGAACCTCGAAAAGCGATTGGCTGAAGGAGGAAAAAGTGACAACAGAAACAACGAATCAGGAGGCGAAGAAGCCCGAAAGGCGTTAACGTTGGAGCTCGGCTTTACTCCAGACTGACTGAGTGACAAGAGAAGCGACCAATGAGAGCGCGGGAGAGAGAGAGAAAAGAAAGAGCACGCTCGTCAGTTAAACGGATGAAAGGCCGAACGAAGGAGAAAGTGGAGGCGGTTTCCCCGGCGGCAGGTGCCTACGGCCGGTTTAAGGCGGGAGCCGAAATCCCACAATTGTGAAAGCGGCACTCCCCTCCTCAGCCTCCCTCAGAAGCCCTGGTTCTGAGGAGGCCCTTCAGGCCTGGACTCACGTTATCAATCACCACCGGCTGGTTCGCGATCACGTCGTAGGACTCCATGGCGACCGCCCGCGCGCTGCCGCCGCCGCCGCAATCACTGCCAGGCTCGCGTCAAGTTCGGGGCGGCAGAGCGCATGCGCGGAAGGGACCGCCGGGCAAAGCATTCCGGGAAACCGAGTCTCTAAGGGGACCCCCCCGCCCATTTTCTGGTCTGTGGGGCTCAAAAAAGTGGAGGCCACCGTTTGACCAACTGTCATAACCGCCAAAAAAGGACTAGGCCCCACAAAATTGGACACCTTCCAAGAAAAATTGAGGACGTTACCAAATAAAAGCTCAAAGCACTCATAGAAATATAGATTCGTTTCACGTGGTTTATTTATTAGTTGTAAATGACTTAAAGGCACAGAACAACAACACATTTACAGCTATATTATATATACTATATTTTATTATAAAAATCCATCAGTGATGCCTTTATTGGCCAACCAAAATACACAGTATACTTGTTGCAAGCTTTCGAAGCTCCATGGGCTTCTTCATCAGGCAAGATGTTACAAACCAAACAGGAGAAAAACAATTGGAGATGTTAGTCAGATGCCTACATGTTGTTTCAGTCCTTAGTTAAGATGGTATGTGGTGGGGAGGATATCTTTTGCAGGGACGCTCCTCCTCCTTCTGGCCCTGTAGGTATAGGGAGATTTTCCAAGTCCAGGAAAATTAAAAACCATTTGCATCTCAACAGGGACACCTCTTTTGCAATCTAATATGTCTCCATTCCAGTGAGGCCACAGACCTCTTTCGCGTTGATCTCGACCATGGTGACCCTATGGATGAGACATCTCCAGGCCCCCCATCCTCTACTGCTTTGCCCATCTCTTGCAGACTCATATTTGTGGTATCTTTAATAAAGTCCATCCATCTAGCATGTGG